CTGTCCCTCAGACCGGTGGTGGGGGGGGGGGGGGGGGGAGGCTGCTGGGACCAGTCTAGCAGCCAGCTCCAAGGTTTATGCTAGTGTGACTTTGTTATTGTCATCACTAGAGGAAAATGAGCACTTAACCCTTGCAGTGCGGGAGTAGCCCTACTGCAAGATTATTTCTGCGCGGAGCTCTTGCCAACAAGTGCAGCTGGCTTCCTATCCAACAAGGAAGCCGGGCGGCACATCATGACCTCCCTCTAGGCTTTCCTGATTGGCTAGGATGCCAGCTTCACTTGTTCTAAGGCAGCCTGGCTTCCTGACCAATCAGGAAACCAGGAAGCTGGTCATTTATGTGCCGCCCAGCTTCCTGATTGCTTAGGAAGCCATGCTACCTAGCAACAATGAAGCCGGCTTCCTAGTCACTCAGGAAGCCGGGAGGCGGTCGTAACCCATCGCCCGGTTTCCTGATTGGAAAGGATGCCGGCTCTATGCTCGCTCGGCACTCCCGGCCAGAGGGAGATCACCCTCTGACCGGACGTTCCGTTATCAGAGGTAAGTATCAGAGCATTTGGGCGAGTACGTGTAATTGGCCAAATACTCGGTATCGGCATTGATACTAGTATCGGTATCGGTGCATCCCTATTCTTTATACTCTCCTTTTCTGCTTACTGCTTGCTCCTAGCCTTTTCTATATAATATTATGGCTAGAGAGGGATGGAGGACAGAGCAGATCATGTGTTCGTACCCCGACTTTAATCTGGAAACAAACACTTTTTGTACCATTACTGTATGTAACAGGTGATAGGACAAGGACTTGCTGCTTTGCGACAGCCTCAGCGTCTCCTACAACTTATGTGCAGTGAAATTCCTCCTGCTAAGACTGGACGATTGATGAGAGGGACAGAAGTAAACTATTTAGGTTACACAAAGCACTAAGCTGAGGGTCTCTCTGCCACCTCTCCAGCAATTTCTGGTATGTTTAACAAGCAGAGCCAGGTGTCATCTACTGGAGCCAAGCAACTGCAAGCATTAGCAGCAAGTGGGGCAATTACATGCTTGTTCTATGCTCATAAACATTGACAGAGGAGAACCATATGAGGCAGGAGCCAAGGCAGACCCCCTGCTGTGCTGAAATCTGGTAATTTTAGGATTTCAAAATTTACCATATCAAAATTCTGTTCACATATAAGACAGTGCTATGCATGTAGACACTTCGATTTGACAAAATAGTTTTGTTTCTATATTGTACTTTTGCTTTAATTATTTCTTCAGTACATTATCATTGACCATTTATTTCCCTTAAGAGTCCACCCAAAAGTGATATTTTATAAGTGGAGCCTGGTAGACTAAAGTTTCTGTTTTCTTCATTCAACCTGCTGACTGAACGAAGAGAATAGAACAGATTCCTCTATTAACACTGATGAGCATTGATTGAGGAATCTCCCGCTGTCTACAGTGTATTCTGACAGCAGCCGCCGGCCGCTATCAGAATGCCCGAACAGAGCAAGAGGCTTATCGGCTGCTTGCTCTATTCATCCGAGAATTTTCCAACATTTTTCTTTAACCAGCTGATCGAGGGATGCCGGTCAGAAAGGTGCCACCCACGCTTCAAATTTTGGCCGGTTCATCAAGAAGGGGGAACTTTGTACAAGGACCAAAACGGGTGTGCAAATCCTGGAGCTCAATCACAGTATTGGCGTCCCCACGATGTATAAGAAATGTTCAGGTGAATAACCTCTCTTGCATCACAGTTTACTGTAGTCAGATTAGGGAAAGATCAATTCTGATTGGTAGCTGTGGGTCACTGAACCATGCACAATATCAGATTTTGGACAGGGGCTCACTGCACTCACAGGGTTATTCACAAAAGGGGTAAGAGTTTGGAGAAGGCAGGAGAAGTGAACAATCTAGGACAACATAGCCGATTTGGAAACATTCTCCAATTCTGCTCACTTTCCAGTCCAGCTATGTTGTCCTAGATTGTTCACTTCTCCTGCCTTCTCCAAACCCTTCACCCTTTTGTGAATAGCACGGTCAGTCTCCATTTCTTCTATATTGTAACTATTTCAAGTTCAGAAAAACTCCAGCAGATGTCAGTATGGCTCGCTCTGCTTTTCTGTGTGCAACAGGAAGGAATCTATTGTGTTGTGTTTAATTGCTTCCAGTGATTGTTCGACATTCCTGTCCTTCGGACATAGTTAAATAAAGCAGCGAATAGTAAAGTTTTAACAATCTCATTAGTTGGCTGCCGCTACCAGGCTCCCAATAGACACAGCTTCTTATTGTCTGAGAACAATCCACATTGCTGTGGGTGAGAGATGTCTATTACATGTGTGTACGACCTGGAGGCACTTACTGTGATGTTTGTAATAGAAATGGCGCAGATGCAATACATTTGGTGGTGTTCTTTTGAACTGTTACATTATAATTAGTAGCGCCCCGTGTGGCGTTTAATAACTCCCTCATTAGACTTTGTCCTTTAAAACACAATGCAATGTGTTTATGAAAGCTGGAGAAATAAATATTAACTCTGTTGTCTAGAAGTGCCAATCAGGTCTTACCAGAGCAATGTTTGCAGTGCAGGTTAGAAAATGAAAGAAAGTATCTGGTCGCCACAGGTAAAACAATGTTGGTATTTATTAATCAGGCCTTGTTGTAATTTATATATAGGTGGTGTGTGTTTTATGTATGTGTAAGCATCAGATGCCATGATTTATATTGGTTTAGAGTCAGTTCTTCATAGAGTAATATGCGCTATATTTTATTATTTTTTTATTATTTTTTTGTATTTGTATTATAATTATTAATGATTAATAATATTATAATTGATGTTATTTTTATTTTATTAAGTCTTGCATTATCCAGGCTCTTTATTGTATTGGCTGGTTTGTGAGAGTCTTTAGAGGCAGAACAGCATGATATAAGCAATATGATTTGGGTAAGGTGGTTCAGTTTTATGGGGGGTAGTGCATCACTAGAGGGATCATCAGCTGGAGTTGGGGAGCGTGTGTACCCATATATGTGGCTGGGTGTTAAAGCCCAACTTCTTACGCCGCTTATATGTGTGAGCTGTTCAGTAAGTGGTTAAGTTCAGGAGGGCAGTATTGTCAGAATTGGGGGCATGACTCTCAGACTAGCAGGAGGAAAGTTCAAGAGTAATGTTAGAAAATAATGTTTTATGGAAAGTGTAGTGGATGCTTGGAACAGACTTCCAGGAGAGGTAATGAATCAATCCACATGAAATAAATGTAAACATGCTTGGTATAAACATAGGTCTATCTTCAGACAAAAATCCCCAAAAGAAAAGCAGACTCAATGGACCCCTCGGCCTTTTTCTGCCGTCAGTCTTCTATGTTTTGTGCATAGAAAACGGGGGATGTCTGTTAAATATTGCACCAGGGTCCTTTGAAACAATGTATCGCTTACTCCACTCCCTCTAATGCATTTAAAATTATAGGCTGCTCTGGCTGGACCATACCACGTTTCAAAACACAGCCCCGCCAGTGTTTCATGTATGCATGTCTCCCCGCACAACAGATGTGCTGTAATATGTCTTTAAGTCCCTGTTCACACCTGGGCGTTTTGACAATCAATGCTAAGGGCTTGTTCACAACAATTGCGGTGCGTTACAGAGCGGTAGCTGCTTGAACGCACCGCAGTCGCTCACAAAACTTCCCCCTGCGTTCTGGGGCGGGAGGGGGGCGTGACGATGTATTGAATTCAATGACACCACAGCCAAGCCCCACTCCCGCAGTGCGATCGGACGCGTGGCAAAACATTGCCTGCGTTCCGTTCCACTGCAAACGCAAAAAATGCTGCATGCTCTATTTTTTTTGCGTTCGCAGTGGAACGGAATGCAGGCAATGCTTTGTGCTTTGCCACGCGTCCGATCACACTGGGGGGGGCGTGGATGCAGTGCCATTGACCTCAATGCACCGCCATGCCCCCTCCCGCCCCACAACGCACGGGAAAGTTTTGTGATTGATTGCAGTGCGTTCCAGTAGCTACTGCTCTGGAACGCACCACAATTTGGTGTGAACAAGCCCTAAGCACGACAAAACTCTCAACACAAGAAATCCTATTCATTTCTATGGCCCCTGTTCACACCTGAGAGTTTTGTCCCAAGTTGTAAAATGCTGAATGCTGGAAAAGGTACATGAGCTGCTTCAAATTACAGTGCGTTTGGCCGCATAGACTTCAATGGAAGCGCATGAAAACGCGAGACACAAGCGGTTTGCACATTTCTTTGCATGTTTTTGTGCACGTAAAAACCGAAAATCGTGCTAAACTCGCTAGATGGTACGCTTCAAAATGTGCGCTAAAAGCAACAAAATGAAAACAGAAGGAGAGTGTTTGTTTTTTGTTACAAAGAATGGTAATAAACATATAACAATGTACTGAGATAGAATTATATGTTATTGTTATTAATAATAATAATATATAGTATGGTTATTATAATAGAAGGCTCAGTCCACTGAGCTATAACGCACGTGTTATCTGCCATAACGTTTGCCAGGTTCAGCCATGTGACTTGTTTTCAGCACTCAGTCAAAGTCAAACACCGATGGTTACATCTTGGTGAATTGAGCCTGTTGTTCCGAGTCTCATTGCCTAACATAATAATTTTACCGACTTGGTGATTCCCAGCGCCAGCGTAAAACCCCTCTTCCCAGAACGCTCCAGGCTTTGCCCACCTTTTGATGTGAAAAGGACTATTGCCGCCTGATTAATAATGAAAAGTAAGTGCTACTAAGTGGTGTGGCAATGGCATTTCCCCTTTTTTGGAAGGCGTCCAGAATCTCTCTTAGAAGGCTAATTGCTTGTCATTTTCCTGGGCACGTTTACATACCAGGAATGGTTGCAGCCTGCAGACAGCGGCACTTGGCTGTCATTAGAAGTGAACTGCTCTTTCTCTTTCTGTGCTGGAAGATTTTCCTTTTTTGCCTTCTTTCTCTCTCCCTGGACTTGAGATTTGTTGTGAGAACTCAAGGCAGCACGTCATGAAGCTCTCACACGTCCCATCTGGGAAGAATAAGACATGCCCAAACCTTATTCATTGCAGGGCCAATGAGGAAGCTGAAGTATGTTGAGAGTCCCCGAGTGCCAGCAGACTCAGCTGTAATGCCATTGAGAAAAGTCTTGGAGCTGCCGGACCCCAACCAAAATGGTGAGTGCCCCCAAATCGTGTTTTGTCTCTCTTATCATTGCAGATTGTTACATAGACTCTCCCGGGATCAAAGAGCAGAGCGTGCATGCTATGAATGGAAGTGCTTGTACAGGTTTAAAACTGCAGCTGTCTCCTGTTGTTAACTCTTTACAAAAGTTTCTTGGACTAACATGTCTGGAGACTTGGCAGTGACGGGGCGTGAAGGCTGGCAGGTAACAGTTTGGTGATTGAGGGTTTTCATGTCGGGGGGGCACAAGAATAATCTTCTGTATGTTTTGTTTGGACTAGTCAACTCACAGACCGGCAAACCGTGGTGAGAAAAAAACCCAAACAACTTGATTTTCTTGTCCCAGTGCCGTTGAAGTGATTGCGTTACTCTGTTTGCCATACTGTGCATTGCCAAGTTTATGTTAAAGGAAATTTGTTAAACTGCTTTAGAAAAAAAAGCTATGCGAGGAACCTCCGATAGAAGCTCTTAGATGAGATTCTGAGCCAAATGACATGTGAAGCTTAATGTAAACTGCTTTGCTGCAAGTGGCGTCACTCTCCCAGAACTTGTACACAACCCAGGGAATCTGAGAATGACCGCTTCCATCTGAGGCATCCCACACGGGTGTATGTGCTTTGCCTCAGCTTCCCTTTAAAGTGTTAAAAAAAACATGGCTTTTGTGTCGCTAAAAAAAAGCATGCCTGTTGAATAAATAGGAAGTAGAAACATGTTTATAGTGAGTTAATAGCTTAACCTACGATATGGCTCCCTGAAGTTTGAGTGACAGGTCCAGGTCAAAGTATGCTGTCAGATTACTTTCTTTTTTATAAAATGCATTTTATTTACAGGCAGTTGCATATGTGCATCCCATGTGATTAGACTTTCTGTTTAATCTGTAGGCTTTAGTAAGGGGATGCAAGGGTAATGGCCAAAAGTGGTAACCTATGACAACCAACACGGTAACCCATGGCAACCAGATTTCATTAGTAAAGTCAGGTCGGTAAAGATGAGATTCCGGTTGATATTACTGTATCTCTAGAGTGCCCTTTGCCTTTCTGCATGAGCCAGCAAGGACAGAGTTAAGAACCCTGCAAGGCTGGCACAGCGGTGGCGTGGCTGCAGGAAACTACCCTGAAACTGACTGACAGCTTTCATCTTGCCAACTGAAACATAGGAAGATTCAGAAAACTCCTCCTTGGTGCTGGCTGTGGAAGCCAGGAAGGGGTTAAAGAGGCTTCCTGCACTCGGGAGGCCAGTGTCATCACTGCAGTAGAGAACAGTGACCCCGTGGGAACGTCTTTGGCTTGACAACCTCCCTCCGGTGCAGCAGGAGTTAAACATACATATTCATAGGGAACGCTCAGAAAAGAGAAGTTGAAGTCACATTGTTTTATCATTGCCGGCAGACTTTATTATTTTTTTACGTTTTTTTTCAAAGGAAAAAATTATCCATGTCAGCGCATTTCACAGCAGTGAGTCTCTGGGAAGATCAGAGTCAAGGAGAGGAATCTAGAATGAATATCTAACAAGCTAACAATATGTAAATATGAGGAAGATACAAAATGTCTTTTCACATTACGCCCCACACCCCATTCAGCTTTGAAATAGTTAATTGCATTATTGTTCCCACACGGCAACTGACTTAATAGAGTGCTACAAAAGTCATTGACATACAAAAGATTCACTTTTTAGCCAGTCGGAAGTCAGGTGTTAGATCTCTGCTTGCTAAAGCTGGTGAAATCTGGTTGTTAATGACTGTTGTTGGTTACTATAGAGCAGTGGTTCTTGGCATTCAGTATGTGTACCCTCAGGGAAATGTGTCTCAGGTGCCAGGGGTAATCCTGCTATGTACAGGTCTGAAAGGTTAGGAAATACAAAGTACATATAAAGTAGCATTAGTTATTTTAGTTGCTTTAAAAGTAGTGATGCATTTAGAGGTTATGGCCAATAAATGTGCAGAGTTGAGGGGGTCTTGAAAATAAGGGGTGCACTGTAAACCTTTGTTGCAATTAAAACAGAACTCCGTTCAAAAAGCGAAATACATAGCTGGGATAATATGTGGACTGTCTTACAGTGACCCTAAACTCAGGAGTTAAATCTTTAAAATGCATTCAAGTACCTTAACTATTTAAAGAAAAGGTATCTTATATCTGTATCACTCGGCTGTAGATCCTCAAATCATCTCTGAATTGGTGCTGACACTGTCCTTCCTTCTGGAGGGTGACTACTTTTGTTCCCCATGGTCCCTGTGTGTGTTGTAAAGTAGTCACCGCTCCAAGCTTGCTCCCGTGTTGGACTACAATCTCATGTTAAGTTTACTCATTTGTAATGAGATTGTAGTCTAAGGGACTAAGGATCTTAGATCCCAATGACATTACTGCACTTGTAGTTTGATTTTTTTTTTCCTCCAGTCTCATACTTAGGCCTCATTCACACAGCTAAGTGCCAGCCCGTACAGATCCGTGCGGTGTGCATGGCCATATCGGGCCGTTCCTTGGAAGGACAGGTGTTGTGTGTGATTGAACGCAGCAGCCTATTCTTCTCTATGGGAGTACGCCGCCGTACGCTCACTCGAGCTGCAGATCCGTGTGGGTGTCCATGCTCGGACGCAGACAGGATCCATCGAGTATGGACACCCGCATGGATGTGCAGCTCGGGTGAGCGTACTCCCATAGAGAAGAACAGGCTGCTGCGTACAATCATACGGAGCACCTGTTCTTCACGGGAACGGCCTGATACGGCTGTGCTGTACGGGCTGACACTTAGCTGTGTGAATGAGGCCTTAAGATCAGTACCTGGGGCAAGGAGAATAGTCTGCAGGAGCCTGTGCATTGCACATCTGGGCAGCCTGTGCATTGCACATACTGTCCCCATTGAGCATCCCCCCACATACCTTTTACTATAATTTAAATAATAGAGATCAAACTATTAGATTACAGACTAGTGTTGAGGCAGGAGGTACACAGGTGTCACAGATACTACTTTCAGTATATCACTCCCCTTCTTGTCCATGACTTCTACAGTACAGAAGAAGTGATGGAGAAGAAGGGGAGAGATATACTGACTGACAGTGTCACAGAGCAGTACCTGCAGGCTGCAGCGCTCCCGGCTCTCTGTCGTCTGTGTTGGATCCTGATTCCCGCCAAGGAGCACCTCACATAGTCTGGACTGGACCTCGGGACCCCCCTCAGTCACCTCACGGCCACACCTCCCTTGTCATACTGTGCTGCTGCCTGCTGGGTAATGCAGTCTTTTGGCCGTCGGCAGCTCTCCGGCTCCTCAGTCCCATGAAGATCGCCGCGGGCAGCGTGAGAGAGCTGCCGGCGGGCAGGGCCAGATCTAATGATAATTATAGTCAGGCGGGTCAGAGATAATTCCGTTGCGGGCCGTATGCTCTAGTGTAAGGTCAGGCAAACTCTGGCCCTCCAGCTTTGGTGCATCTACAACTCCCAGTCACAGACATGACTCCTAGAGACGGATGCATGATAGGGTTTGTAGTTTCACGACAGCCGGAGGGCTGGAGTTTGCCTGTCCTTGCTGTAGGGGATGCAAAGAGCACAAGTGCTGGGGCACCGTGAAGAAGAGGGGTCCCTACTGATGACTGAATTATCTTTTCATCAGTGGCATTCTCTTTGCTTTTTACCCCCTTTGTCTGTTTTTTGGCTGTGTGATCATTTAGCTGGATTTAAAATATTCCATTATTGTAATAAAAATGAACTCCTTGTCGAGAGCGTTTTTGTACGAGGGTTCCCCAATTTAGGTTTGGCAGAAGGTCTGTCTGATAATGGATTATGTTATTGGACCATCTTGCATGGAAATAATGTTTAGCGGAGGTCTCCTTTACTTGCCCTATTAGCCGTCCTCGGCATGTCACCGGCACCCGGCTGGGCCTTTCCATTACTTTTTGTTGTATAATGGAGGCCGCCACAGCCAGCTTGTCAGTTCACTTTAAGCCAGGCCCAGTAAATATGATATGATGGCTGGTGACTAGCCCGGGCCGTCTCGCTTTCTCTCTGACCGCTTTGAAGTGCTGGTTTTGAGGGTTAATTAATCTGCCCAGGCAAGCCAGGGTTCACGCCAGCGTCTCCAGATCTGACAGGAAGGCGCGCGTAATTGGAAGACCGCTAATGAATGGGTATGTGGGAGCTGGACAGGACAAGAATGACAAAGAGGCTGGCCCAGTTCCTGGAGGAATGTTATGCCACAGACTTGGGAAAACTGCCTTCCCCTAGCTGCTGAGGCACTACAGGTCCCAGCATGGGGTGGCAGGGAATACAATGATCTGTGTTTATAATAGGAGCTGCTCAAGTGTACAGTCTCTGACAAACAATAGCTAGAAGAGGTTCCCTTCTCTCATTTTGTTCAGTGAACTCCATTGTGGGTGATTTTGTTTTAACCAAATTGGCCATATTAGGACACATTTCAGATTAAAAAGTAAAAATGTCATCCCTTTGTATGTTCAGCATTGTTAGTGGTGTCTCGATGCCTCAAAATAAGCGTGCACAGTTTTGCCTTTTCTATACTTAATGTGGCCGTCTTTCATCCTTAGTATATGGTGCTTGACATATATATGTACCTGGTAAATAAAAGCCTTCTACTGTGTAGTGGAAGTTTGCCCTGCTCTGCTCCTCCATGAGATGTCCTGCCAGACCAGGCATAAATTATTTGTGAGCTTAATAAATTCATAAGTTAATACGTTTGTATATCATCTGCAATGCTGTTGCCAGAAATGGAAAGGCCAATTAATTGCTCGTATTTTTTGATCATTGGAGCTTCTCATTTTAAACACTTTCCCATCAGAAGGAGATCGTTTAACCCTTTGGGTGCCGGGTGTCCCATTTTCAGGGCTCCTGCCTAGTTGTTAAAGGGCCGGTGTACCCAGAACTAATATTTCAGTTTTTTGTGGGTGTTTAAGGGTCACTTGTTTGTTATATCTCCTGGGGGCTCTCATCATTGGTATGATGTCTTAGTTTCAATTCCCCATCTGCCATTATGAGAGGCTCCCGCTTTCCCTGCTGGATTTGTTATTTATTTTATATTATGGCGACTGTAACAGGAAGAGCTGGAACATACAAAGGTGAGCGGAAACATCTGGAACTCCCAGGTAGATTGGAACAGATAGTGGATCTATGCCAGGTAGATGTCACAAATGGGGTGTTCAAGGCAAGGGCGGACTCTGCCCACCCAGTTACACCCAATACTCACTGCTACTAATTCTAAAATACGACTTTTTAGTGGGCTGACCTAAAGCAAGGTCGCTAAACTCCGGCCCTCCAGCTGGGGAACTACAAATCCGATCACGCATCTGCATCTAGAAGTCATACCGGTTGCTGTCATTCTTGCAATGCCTTTAGGGATTTGTAGTCAAACCACATCTGGGGGGTTGGGGGGGGCAGTATTTAGCTGCTCCTGCTTTATGTCCTCAAACCCATGATATACATGACATTGCTGATAGATTGGCAGCTCCGTCCATTAGAAGCCCCGAAAACATTATTCCCTATCAGTTCCAAGCAAAAAAAATCAATGCACCTCCTAATGACGACCTCAGCTATTCAGAAATGTTGATTCCCCTAAAACTGTGAGTCTGTTGCAGGTAATTTGATTTCTAGTTTGCTTCCACTCATAATGGAGCTCTTTAGTCTTCTGCTCAAGAATTCCTCCCGGCTGATGTGTTCCGTTTTACCCTCTCCATGTAGAATGTGCACTTGAGAAGACCTCTGGCTGTTCCCCGGCTGCTCAGGAGCTGATGACGAGGCTGGGATTCCTGCTCGGTGAAGGCATTCCCAACACCGCGCGAGTATCTATGGATGAGAAGAATGAAACTATGGTAAGTGTGCACCATTGGGCAGGCTTTGTTACCATCACTGATTTTGCCACTGCCCCATCACCTGCCTGCTATTTGGAATAAGAGTAGACATGATCACTCGGTTGTAACCCCTTTTCTTCACCCTGTACCCTACTTTAAAGAGGAGCTCCAGGAAATGTTTCTACAGGACTACCCCTGCATTGCAAAGGTTCAGTACTCATTTGAGTATAGTTTAAAAACAAGTTACATTCGTCAAGCTCCAAGCCGGCTTTTCCTTGGACTGGTCTCCACACTACGCTGCAGTGGTCTAAGGTCCTGGAAATCATCATGTCTATACACAGTGTATAGGACGTGAGGACGCTGAGGAAGATTTCAATACTGCAGGGAGGGGGAGACTGGCTGGAAGGAGCACTGTGACAGCTGCCAGCTTGGAGCTTCAGGTGAGTATAATGTTATTTTATCATTTAGACACAAATGAACACTTAACCCTTGCATTGCAGGGGTAGCCCTACAGCAAGGGTTAAGAAGAACATTTGCTGGAGTTCTTCTTTAAGCCTGCCTTTTGTGTATTGCTTACCAAGCAGGCAGTAATTGCAAGCCTGATTTCAATATCACACAGGCTTAACTCAAAATGATTTCCTTAATTTTGGATGGTTTCGGGAGTGATTTAAGGGGTGTTTTTTATATGTGTGCCTGAAGTTGTTTAAACATCAGCTTCAATTGATTTAAAAATTGCTATCTGTATTTTTGACTCGTTTGCCACTTAAAGGAGAACTATGGGGTCAGTGTTTTTCCCCATAGTTCTCCTTAGGGTAACGGGAGGACACAAACTAGCGTCCTCCCGTTACCCTAAGCTCAGTATACCGCGAGCTACAGCTCGCGGTATACTGAGCCGCCGCAGCCGGAGCAGATCCCGACATAGACGACGGGATCCCCCCAGCTGCGTGAGTGACAGCTGCCTCTGCCTATCTAGAGGCAGAGCCAGCTGTACCTGCCCCCTCCCCCGTCCGTTCCGCCAGTCAGCGCTGGCAGATCGGAGCGGGGAGAGGGGAATCCAGCCCCTCCCCCTGTCACGGCAGAGAGCCGTGACAGGATCGAGAGGTGAGCGAACCCGGTATGTTCGCTCACCTCCCGATCTACTGAGCCGACCTGTGACAGTCTCATTGTCACAGGTCAGCTAGAACTATGAGGTGAGTGAAAAGCACTCACCTCATAGTTCTCCTTTTAATCCTCCTTTGTAATAGTTTCTCATGATCCCGTGCTCACTTGCTGAGGACTGGAACCAAGCTCACAGTAAGGTGCTTGCTAAAATGAGAGGGGAGGTGGACAGCAGCTCTGTCGGCGTCATGTTTCAAGCATTAGAGGACAATCTTGATTACTAGGGCAAGTGGAAAGTACAGGTAATGTCTGAGACCCTGAGTTTGGTCTATATTGGCCACAACTATCGAATTGTGACGATCTCCCTTTCAAACCTGAAGGGAAGGTGTTCCCCCCGGCATGGAGGTTGATCTTTCTCTTCATAATAGTCAGAAGATTTATTTTTTCCAGGTGGCCAGACAAACAACCCAGCAAGCTAATTGCTGACTGCTGTCTCCGGTTCTAGTCACCCTGACTAAGGATCAAAGATGGCTGCTTGTCTTTTCACAACCTGCGAGAACCTGTCATCAGCTGATTAGCTGGTGGCTTCGCTGGTTCCTCGTTGGAAGAGGAGTGTAAACAAAGCTGTCGGATAGGACAGAATGAGGATATTGGTGAAGATAAGGAAATTCAGGTACAAGGCGAGGTGAACTATGGAGTGTTGAAATGTGTTGTTTGTTTTAGATTGTCAGGCGCTCTCTGTAGGTGTGCATGGCAGACGCAGGAAGCCGTCTATGGTGCTCACTTGACCCGGCCTTATCTGTAAAACAGGTTCAGCCCACTTGAAGTGCAGTGCAGAATTTAAAGGTACCAATGGTATCAAATTCATGAGACTGTGAAATAGTAAACATATTAAAGCGAGTTTCTATTTTTGCAGCCAAATTGAGATAACACCGATTTTATATTTCTTACATGTTTCTCATTCCCTTTGCATAACTTTAAAAAAAAAAAAAAATTGCTGCTTGCGCAATACATGCTCAATTCTCAAAGAAAAGTTTATCTCTGTACTGATTTTTCCTGTGGAATGCAAGGGGGAGGGTAATATTTACGATAATTAACTGTGCTGGCAGATCTCATTATCAGTTGTACATTAGATGTGACTAATTTGTCCATTTGACAGTAGAGTCTGAGGATTAGGATGACGCACAGGTGTGCACTCCTAGTTCTTTGCTGCAAAATTTATTAATATTGTCATGGCACAGGTCATTGTGTGTAAGGACTTAATAAGGTATATTGCAGTCACAAAGGGGTTAAAATTAGTTTCCTGCCCTCTGATGCATAATTTTTGGCTTGCAGAAATGCCTACTGGCAACTTATTCAACACTTAGCTTAATTTGTTAACCTTTGTACTGGCGTGCAGTACTTTTAATTAATCAGACACAAAAAAATTACTTAAAGGTGCAAAAAATAAATTGATTCAAAAGCATTTTCAAACCTACCTATAAAGGTGCAAAAGGCTAGTTGTTATTGCTGTCTTTGACTTCTTTGAAGATTTCCTGTGTGGTCTGTAGGACAGGTGGAACATCTCTTCAACAGGGGGCGCTCTCAACAGAAAAATAAATAAATTAAAAAAATGTTTTATTATATATATATATATAATATTTTTTTTTGTAAAGTGGGGAAGGGAAGTTGTTTTTCACGTTACCTGCATCCTCAGGTACTAACACTATATTTTGTTTAATAGATTTTTGTGTTCCTTGCTCCTATTCCAGTCACTAGGGCAAGAATAGCAATATATTTCAACATTGGTCCTAACTCTACCCCACTCTATCCACATCATAGCAAAGAAGTTTTGGCTTGATGTTTTCTTTAAAGTGACCTTTTCACTAGGATAAGAAAGTTAAAGCCGCTGCCAGTAAAAGATGATGTGTTTACCCCGGCATGGGGCACGTCCAATCTTTGCTCTTTTGCATAGCTTTGAATGCCAGTGCTTTCCAACACTACTGGCGCATCTGATAGCGTGCCCACTCTGCACACTGTGCTTTCACCAGCTAGCTGCCACATTGCTACAAGACACAGTAGTGGCATAAGGCCTGGTTCACACCTGGGCGTTTTGTAGCGCCTTTGAACGCTCTTCAAAACGCTCAAAACACCGAAATCCCATTATTTCCTATGGGTATGGTTCACACCTAACACCGAAATCCCATTATTTCCTATGGGTATGGTTCACACCTAACACCGAAATCCCATTATTTCCTATGGGTATGGTTCACACCTGGGCGTATTACAGGCCGTATGATCGCGCTACAAATGCCCTACGCCCAAAAAAGTACAGGAGCTCCTTTGGGGCATTTTTGTCTCGCGTTTCCATTGGGATAAAGCCAAGCCCTGGGAAACGCGCGTTTGTTGCGCATTTTTTTTACCGCAAATCACGGTGAAACGCGCGACAAACGCGCATATTCGATACGCCTAGGTGTGAACCCAGCCTAAGAGTCAGTAGGTACGCGCACAAAGTACATGCTATTTGACAGTTTATTCAGAAACTCCTTTTACAGACTGATTCCATTGAACTTTTTATCCTGGTGACAGGGTCGTTTTAAAACACACAGTCACTTTAAATACCATTGCACCACGACATTTTGAATGGTTGGGCAGAATGTTTGTAGCAGTGCTGTTCAAGCTGGAGTAATCCTTAAATGTCTAAAACTTGATGTATATTGCTGTGCAGAGGGAAGGGTTTTCAAATATGTATTTTGCATCTCATTGTGCTAACAAAAAATAGTGTCTCTGTAAGATGCCTCTTTCTTACCAGGCCTCGTGTGCCATGGTAATTAATGGTTGATTTCCTGCAGTGTACAGTGACAAGTCACGGGATAAGTCCCTGCTCAACACTGACGAACAGCACAGCTTCTCCAAGCACTGCCAGTCCTTGCTCCACGCTGAACAGCTGCATCATCAAAACAGCCGCCAACAGAACCAGTCCCAGCGGAACCATCAGCAGCCCCAGCTCCACCCTGGAAAGCAAAGACAGCGGAATAATCGGTAAGTGGCCTGGCTGTCCTTCGTCATTAGCTTGTGGTTAATAGGGTTCAATGGGACACCACATGGGGAATTAATTTTGTGCCTCCTGATGTTCTGAACAGAAGCTTTAATTGTGTTACTTGTTATCCTTTTATGTTGTTCCTTATATGGTTTGACCTTGTTTATGTTTTGCAAGGGGTGCGTTGGTGACAACTGACGCATTATATATATCTATGTCATGGGACTGTGGGGTTAGAGGTCTGCTACTTCCCTTTATCAGTTATGTTCTACACTTTGTACTAAAGTAACATTGCACTTTCTTTCAGATACTTTTTTCTGCTGTTTTCATCCACTGGTGGGCATTCAGTAAAAAGAAATGTTTTTATATAGATATCTTGGAATGCGTGAATAGTATACAAAAATTTAGATTTAAAAGAAATGCACATATTTTTTTTTTTTTTCTTGAAATGTCCTTTAAATTATATATGAGGGGATCCCATGTGTAGACGTTGTATGAAGTTTTTTAATACATTACTCTAAGGATCTCTGATAACATTGTAGAAAGTAATTTAAAGTATCTAAACACCAAGAACACAAATGTAATATATTGCAGCTTACCGGTCCTTAAATGTGGTGACTGCATTCATATTCTTTTTTCTGGCTTTTATTTTCACCTGGTGATCCTGCCAGTAACACACTTCCTGTCCTAGAGTGATAATGCTCACTCACTGTACAGTGTTGTCACCCTAGGAAAGAAACTGTTATACGACAGCACACCATTAGGGAAGGTGTTCTGTAGCTCACAGAAAAATGAGAGCAATGTAACTGATAAAAGTGCAGCATAGGAAGTGACCAGCGTACTGGATTTCAGGTTAGGACAATTGTCTTTTTTTGGCACGTAACAAAATGCTTTATGAAACTAGCCAAAAGAGAGCAAATAAGAGTTCACGGTTATGGTTTACATACGTAGTGTTGTGCAATATAAAGTGTAGTAACCCATAACAGCCAAACAGATTTACTTCTTGCCTTGCTGAACAGATCATATGTTTTTATTTATCTTATAAAGTTATATTCAAAGCTCAGGCAGCTAACCTATTCCTATGAGGCATCCATTATTCAGAGCTGTGCCCACAGCTATCTACAGAGTTTAGATATCGGCTGCCATGCACAAGAAATGTAAAATTCAGCACAAAACAAGTTTACTGATATCTTTGCAGTTTATATAGCTCGCCTAAAGGGAGTTGCTCCTCAAATGGTAAGTCTGCTCAAGAGATATTCAAGTTATTTATGGACACAGGCGGGTTGAATTATCGATAAGCTTCGCTTCATTGGCAGGCTCCATAGCAATGTCTTAAAAATGCATTCAAGTACAGTAACTACGGTAGTAACAGCACTGGAGCTTATTTGTGTACCACTCAGCTGTAGTTCTTCAAATCATCTCTGAATTGGTGCTGACACTGTCCTTCCTTCTGGGGGGTGGCTACTTTTGTTTCCCATGGTCCCTGTGTGTGTTGTAAAGTAGTCACTGCTCCAAGCTCAGTTCCGTGATGGACTACAGTCTTAATACAAATTCGTAAACTAAATGTAAGATTGTAGTCCATCACAGGAGTGAGCTTGGGGTGGTGGCTACTTTACAACACACACAGGGGCCATGGGAAACAAAAAAGTCACCCTCCAGAAGGAAGGACAGTGTCATCACCAATTCAGAGATGATTTGAGTGTCTACAGCCGAGTGATACACAAATAAGATACATTTGTGTTAATAGTTAAGTTAAGGTACTTGAATGCATTTTTAAGATTTAACTACTGAATCTAGTGTTTAAGAGATTAAACAGATGATTGGATTTGCTTTCTAAAAAAATGAAATATCAATTTTGGAAGGACTTAAACTTTAAAACCAGTTTTGGCCTAAAGGGTTAATTGATGGCCCTCCTGTTGCTAGCTGGGACATAATACTCATCTTACAGCTCAGTCCTTAATCCAAATGTGGCTAGACTGCTGCAAGCTCAGGATAATGGAGCCATAGACCGGCTTTAAACCTTAGCAGGGAGTTAAAGAAGATGGAAGTCTGAGCTGAAGCCAAAGAACTAAGCTGTTCCTGGAGGAGTGCCACTCTACCTCCTATAGACATCTTCAATCCTGCATTATTGTATTTCTTAGCTGTTTAGAGAAACTAGACGGGTACGCAAGTTTTTAGTATGGTTTTCCCTTAGTTACGTGGGTTTCACATGGCCTCCAAGACATCGGGCCACGTCTGCATTATGAGGATGTCTTACATCACTTGGGCTGGCCTTATTTTTAGGGATGATCTGTCCTCACGAATAGAGCACAAGGACATGCAGCAGTTCACTAATTAGATGAGCCAACTTTTATCTGTTGAGTTTGTAAGCCTATAGTTATGCTTTTCTATGTTTAAATAAAAGTAGCCAAGCTGTCAATTTTCCACCTATGTTTTATTCAGCTTTAAAGAAGAAGCATTGGGAGAGTAAAATATAATGCATATAGTATGCAGATGTCACGGTTCAGCTCTATATACTGATCATGTAACTGCTGATCGCTCAGCTCATTGTCTCCTTGCAGGGAGCAGTGGTCAGTTCCCCCTCCCTGCACGGATTCCCCCCTCCCCTCTCTGTTCTTTCAGCGCTCATTGGAGGGACAGAAAGGGTAAGGGGCGGGCACAGCTGGCTCTAGAGAGGCAGAGCCAGCTGAAAGTCAGGCAGCAGGGTGGATCCCGACAATATTGTTGGGATGCTCCCCGGCTGCAATGCGGTCTGCGCTGTCAGCATGTAGCAAACAGTAGCCCATTATCTGCTGACTTTGGGTCAGCAGATAATGCTTTCCTTTGACCCCCAAAAAAAGGTTTGCCTTTACTTCTCTTTTACAATACTATGACCTTAATTTTCCACAGTTGTGTACTCCTAAATCGAACACATTCAGCCACTGTGGCTTCAAGACCGTGCATAAATGGCAATTATATAATGACTGTACATAGAATTGGATGTGCTCATTATACAGTCAGATGTTACATCACGCCTTTCCCATATGGTATCCTTTAATCAAGTGAAATCAGGATTTGAGTGATTTGGGGACCAGGCCCCGTTATTTTTAGGCCTCCGTCAATTTTTTCCTGCTTCTTTTTAGCTTGCACTGTGGATGTTTTCTTTAACACCTTTTGCATGATCTTCCAGCATGCAGCAATTGAATGCAGCTCATTTGCATTGAACCTTCAAATGCTGCTACACAGGTGATTTGATTTTCATAGATTTTCAATCAGATTCGATTTTGATTAGAAATCCATCGAAGTCATTTGTGTTATAAATATGCTCAAAAGTGTTGAAAAAGTGGATTTGTGGACCTTTAGATTGCTGACTTAAACTACTGTGTCCTTTAGTGATGTGGAGGTTGGAGGGAGGAATCATGAATTAATGTGGGGGACACAGGAAACTGATACTCCTGGATGTGTCAGTTTATGGATAGACTTAGTTTGGGAATTGCCCTTCAGTGGAACGTCCTTCGGCGATTTGAGCAGTTGGGGAAGTAAGTATTCCAATGCTTCTTTGCAGGAATGGCATTTTTAAAGCTACGTCGAACAAGCGTCAGTCACTTTGAAGTTTTCACAGGGTTAAATTCCCCAATGCTCCCAGCAGACGAAACCCAACCATATCCTTCCTCATGTACAGTATAATCATTTTGTTGGCTTTGTCTTAACACAGGCTGAATGTTGGCAGTTTAGGTTCAAAATGAGCTACAGGGTATTTAAACCCAAGAGCAAACACTGAATACATTGCAAGTACCAGTTCTTAGACGTGGGGGCTGCATTCGTTTTTTTCTTTTTCTTTTCACTTGGTGATCCTGCTAGTATCTCCCTTCCCTACGGTGACCAGGATTACTTACTGTACTTTATCAATGAAGGAGCAGTATTGTCACACTAGGACAGGAAGTGGTAGGACTACAGAATACCTTCCCCTCTCCTCTTCTCCAAAGCATAGAATTAGTTTCTGATGTTTAGCGGACAATTGTGGGGCTGATTACACTGCTCTGCAGAGTGCACAGGACAGCACTGGGCTTCTGTCAGCAATAACAGGTATTTCTTTGCACTTATTGAACAGATATACCCAAAAAAAATTTGATTGTGTATTTGGCAGACCAAAAGGGAATAAATAAAAGCTCTGCAGTGTTAGGGGTTACATGCACTTTAAGTATAAAATGACTGTAGCTCATTCATTCACTTTGAGTTGGTGATGGTGACTTATATGGAATCACTGTCTGTAGTCACATGACTATTTCTGAATCACCCCGGGACAAATACATTTTGTACACATAAGGAACAGTTACGTTGGCTGTAAATATGAAGTAGAGCTGGAATGGCCAGTTATGATCCTGCTACAGAAAGATTTTCTTTTGGTTTGATGTAAGTATACAAACCTAGAGCATAGAGAGGACACAGCAGAAAATCAGCTCCAATCCAAACAGAAGTAGTATTTGGTGTGTGGACACCGCGGTGCTGGTCTTCGCTCAGGTGAATGGTAAAGACCGGAAACCCCGATGTCGCTAAATGACGTTGTTCCCTGGTTGGGTTGTCTGCTTTATTGTGATGGATCCCGCGATCAATGCTCAGTTATAGTATTACACATCACAATCATCTCAGGGTCTTAGCAGAGACTATATATGGGAACATTGATTCTCTGATTTTCTATTTACTTCCTTCGATCTTCGGATAAAGAGATGCTGGCCGGAAGGTTGCCAACTGCTGTGCGAATTTTCATGAACTGGACGATATTTGCATAGTTTATGGCCCTCGTGTTAATATACTGATAGCAGAAGAAAGCAGAGTGACCAAGAGATAAGCTCATCAGTGTGCTGCTTCTCCTTGCACTGTCACAGGTGGGGGGTAAGGGACAAGATCTGTAAGTGTTCTTTAAAGTGACACTAAACTCGGGAGTTAAATCGTAAAAATTAGGGATGCACTGATGCCGTCTATACAGTATTGAGTACGAGTAATGATATTTTTTTTTGGTCTCACCGATAACGGAAGTCCTATTCAGGAAGCCAGGCGGCGTGTAATGACTCGCCACCTGGCTTCCTGATTAGCCAGGAAGCCGGGCGGCGTGTAAAGACTTGCCACCCAGCTCCCCGATTAGCTGGGAAGCTGTCCCCATGCTTCTCGTCACTAGGTGACGAGAAAGGATGAAGCCGGCTTTCTGGTTAATCGGGAAGTCGGCTCCATGCTCACTCGTCACTAGGTGACGAGTGAGCATGACTCTGGCTTCCCAGCCAATCAAAAAAGCGGGCGCCGCTTGATTACACGGCGCCCAGCTTCCTGATTGGCCAGCTTCTCGACCAATCAGGAAGCCGGGCAGTGTGTAATGACTTTCTGCCCGGCTTCCTGATACCGGAAGTATCGGGCTAGGCATCGGAGAATTTGGGTGAGTACGAGTACTCACCCAAATACTCAGCATCGGCACCGATACTAGTATCAGTATCGGTGCATCCCTAATAAAAATACATTCAAGTACCCTAACTTTTAAGAAAAATTTATCTTATTTGTGTATCACTCGGCTGTAGATATCACAGATAGACTTTTATGTCCGTACAAATTAGCTAACTAAACTTGAGGTTGTAGTCCATCACAGGAGTGAGCCTGGAGTGGTGGATACTTTACAACACACACAGGGACCATGAAGAACAAAAGTAGCCACCCTCCAGAAGGAAGGACAGTGTCAGCACCAATTCAGAGATGATTTGAGGATCTACAGCCGAGTGATACACAAATAGGATATATTTTTATTAATAGTTAACGTGCTTCAATACATTTTTAACTTTAACTCTTGAGTTGTCGCTTTAAATGCAGAGAAAAATCAGGTCTGCTGTCCCGCCAGGTAGTGCTGTGCTCAGGAGTGGATGAACAGAAATAAAAATCACTTATTTGTATTTTATGTGTGTGTGTTTTCCTGACGCTCAGCTTTAATGGTCGGTAGAGGACATTGAGGACGTTTCAGTTTGATTGAGTTAAAGGGGCCTTTGTGAATATGTTGCACCTGGGCCCTTTTGGCCTTTAGTCACAGACAAAAGTGCCTATTTTATACCAGATTCAGTGCTGTATGTGGAATGTTTCAGTGTAGCGTGTGTGAATTACTACATGTAGAATGACAGGGTGTCACCATGCAGTCTTAAACAGTTAATTGATCAGAGAGTACTAAGTTTCTGTTTAATTTCTCAGCCAATTATCACCTTGCTGCCTCGTTTACACTTATCTTTAATTATCACTTCTAGCGTACTTATTAAAAAGTTTCCTAAGACAGATCTCTTCTCTGGGGACCTCTGGGAGCATGGCTGAACACATTCCTTTAATTACATTTATGGCACCAGAAACAAAGACATTTTCTTCCTTTCCTACATCGGTTTATGGCACAGAACATTTAAAGCGGCCATGCGTCGGGTGCGAGTTTGATTACTGCTATGAGCTTGCGTTGCTTTTATCTAGTTGCCCTTTTAAGAGCATAGTGATAGTGTAAACCTATACGGAGATGAAAGCGGAGGTCAGCCTGTCTGCCGGGGAAATCAGTTTTTTGATTTTGACACAAGAGTTGAAATGGAGCTCTGGGGATTATCCTTCCCGACTGACTAAATTGGAGATTATGTTTTGGGATTTGTAGCATGTAAGCAATAATTTTCTGAAGATGGAGGAAAAACTGCTGTGCCTACGATGTGGAAATCACAAGGTGTTGCAGAAGCAGTGCGATGTATAATGTTCCAGGGCAAAGCCGCCACATTACTTGCATTTTTGAAGCAAATGTTTGTTTTGCAATCTTGAAATATTGTTGCTGATTTTACATTGAAATCCACGGGATTAAGGCACGCATAAACCTAAATAATGAGGTCATAACTTTGGAAGGTTTTGCAACGCCTGTGGAATTTCCCATCAAGTATACCGAGCTTCTTCGGGTGGTCCTGTACATTTTATTATGGCACTGAAAGGCCAGAATTAGGGGGCCCTGCCATTCTTGACTTGTTTTTGTAGCTGCATGTTCCAGGGCTGCCATCCTTACTTTGACATTAACCTAGAACAGTGTACATATCTTACGTCCCAACTTCTGATGTATGTGAGCTTGCTGCAGGTCAGGGACTTGCCATGTAATGAAAGCAGAAAAAAGCATTACACTCCCAGAACTTGCTCCTCCAAAAGATAAAGAACTCTGGGCATTTTAAAAACATTCCCTTGCATTGGGACTACCCCTGCACTGCACGGGTTAAGTGCTCATTTTTCTCTAGGGGATGGAATAAGGCAGATATGCTCAGCTGATCCTTGGTCCTGTGGTGGTCAGCACTCGCCGCCCTCCCACTCTGCTTTGGCCTTGGAATGTCCCTCTGCGTCTAATGCAAGTCAATAGACCTGCATTAGGCATGATGATGTCAATGGTCCTTAGAGTGCCAGAGCCCAGGGAAGAAGAGGCTGCAGGGACTGATCTGGCAGCTCAGCAGCATCAAGAATCAGGGGAATGTATATGCTTGGTTTCATCCCGTAAAGAAATATGAGCACTTAACCCTCCCAGTGCGCTAGCGCCACTGCAAGGGAAAGGTGAGAGTCCAAAAGTGCCTTTTAATATTCATATTTTAATCAAATTAAAAACTAGTCGACGCGTTTCAGGGGCAACAACACTCCCCCTTCATCAGGGCTTAGAATGGGATGAAGATTTGAATGGACTCCGAATATAATCAAATGGATCGATATATGATTTGGTATAAACTCTGCCTTTAGGGCTGGAATTGAAATTGTATACTCAGCAGCAGACAAGCCCATTCTAAGCCCTGAAGAAGAGGGAGTTTTGTTGCCCCTGAAATGTGTTGACTGTTTTTGGTTTGAATTATGAATAATTAAAGGCACTGATGGGCTTTTCCACAGTTTGGTTTGGAGCCCATTATTTCAAAACATTGAGTCTCTTCTGGGTCTGTTATGTTTGAGTGCTTCCTTTCCAATGCCAGTGAGCTTATTTGCAGAAATCCTTGCATCTGAACAATTTCTCTGAACAATTTATCCACAAAAGTTAGTCAGCAGTAGTAGATCACATATCTAGCCTGACAGGTTTGTGGGACACCATTATTACGCCCCCTCCGTCGGTGTAGTCGTGACCCCCTACATTTATAATAGAGTCCTCAGTCTTCCAGTTTAGCTGATGCTGGGTGTCATCCAATGAGAACCCTCAAAAGATTTCACCATAAGGTTTTTTGTTCTACATGTTTTTTCTTTATTTCTGTAATTAGGTTATCAAAGTTTTTAGGTTGGTCATGTAACTTCACAGGAGTCCCCCCCCCAGTTTAGCTGATGCTGGGCGTCATTCAATGTGGAAAAATAAT